TCGAGAGCCCAAACACATATTGCAGCACTTGATTTATGAACACAGGGGCCCCACAGGGGCAATCTTGTAAGAAGAGACTGAGAACAGAATGGACTCGGCAGTAAATCATGCTGGGCCAACTGGGTGTCCATAACACTCCTTAAAGTAAAACTTTAACCCTATCTCAAACAGTATGCAAAAGTTCATTCCCAGTGAATAAAGTTGGGGGTAAATAAATGGAGGTTAAAACAGAAAAGCTTTGGACTTCCTTAGTTGTCCACTCATTAAAACTCTGTGCTTTGCGCTTCCACGGCAAGCGGTGCAGGTTTGAGTCCCGGTTGGGGAACTTCCCCATGAACATGGTTACAGCCAGAAAAGAAAAAACAAAAAACACCTGAAAAGTTTCTAGAAGATAATATAGAAGTCTATGTTTATAACCTCAGAGTAAGAAAAGACTTACTGAACAGGACACAATAAAACACTAACCATAAAGAAAAAGACTCTATTAAGGACTTGGTTTTTTAAAATTAAGAACATCTTTTCATCCTCAAGGATGAATGGGCAAGCAACTGAACGAAGACTGTGCCACATGTACAGCCAACAATGAGCTCATATTCAGAATATATTTTAAAATACCTACAAAATCAGTAAGAAAAAAACCCCAAACAACCCAAATGCAAAGTGGTCAAGAGACCTGAACACTCATATCACAAAATGAGAAGGTGCTCAATCTCATCAGTAAGGAAAAAGCAAAGTAACTCCACAATGTGACATTGCTGCAAAACCACCACAGAGGCTAAACTTACAAAGACTGACAATGTTGGCAAGGATAAGGAGCAAGGGAAAATTCCCATTTGCTGTGGGGGGGAGTATGTTGGTACAACTACTTTGGAAAACAGTTTGGTATCATCTATTAAAGTTGATGAGGCACATAATCTACAAGCTAACAATTCCTCCCATGGGTGCATGTCCACAGGCACCAAAAAACACAAACAAGAATTGCTCCAAGGAAGAGCCATTTAGGACTCCATGATGGATCTGTCTCTTTGACTATAACCTTTGCTTTTCATTGCTTTTGTTATTATAATCATATATAACGACCTGCTTCAGGGAGCCCTGTGGCTCTGCCTAAAGAGATTAACACATCCCCTCCCTGAGGTTGGCCATTCCAGGAGACACTTGCAAGATAATAGTCTTTACTTCCTTCCCTTCTCTGTCCTAGAAAAGAACTGGATTCCAGACCCCAGCAAAATGTTTATCTTGAGACATTAGTCTGCCATCTTGTCTCTCAGCCACGTTTCTGAATAAAGTTGTTTTCCTTGCCTCAACACCTCATCTCTTGGTTAACCGGCCTGTTGTGCAGCAGAATGACAACAGCCACCTTATCCACAGACCCTAAATAACCATCCAAGGTCCTTCAACAGAACAGTTGATGAATTTGGCTAACAGTTTTCCACACAGTGTGGGGAAATGAATTCTAGTCACAAAGGATCTAGACACATGTCAATGCATAATCCATGATGCCATTCATTCCCTGATCAAAAAAGACAAGCAAAACCAAAATATTGTATTTACAGATAGGCTCTTTGTCACAAAAACTATAAAGAAAAAGGAAGAAGTGTTTACCAAAAAAAATCAAGATAGGTTTTTTGTTCGTTTGTTTTTTTACCTTCAGTTGATGATGAGCAGTGATTGGGAGAAGGCCACACAGGGGAATTCTGAGGCATTGCACTGTTCCATTTTTTATACTGGTGGTGGTTACAAGGTGTTACTTGTGATAAGTCACTGCACTCTGCATTTCTATTTTGTGCATATATGTGTATGAAATTCCAGTTGCTGCTGCTAAGTCACTTCACTCTGTGCGACCCTACAGACGGCAGCCCACCAGGCTCCTCTGTCCTTGGGATTCTCCAGGCAAGGATACTGGAGTGGGTTGTCATCTCCTTCTCCAAAGGATGCATGCATGCTAAGTCGCTTCAGTCGTGTCTGACTCTGCACGACACTATGGACAGCAACCCACCAGGCTCCTCTGTCCATGGGATTCTCCAGGCAAGAATACTGGAGTGGGTTGCCACTTCCTTCTCTAGAAATTTCAGTTAAAGGGCATTAATAAATCAAATGCAGCTACAATCTAAAAAAAAAAAATCTCATTATGTCAATACCTATGTATATTGTTTGGAATCAAAAAGAATACTCTTAGGGGGAAGGGCAGTATCCTCACTGTGGCCCATTATTTTTTATAGCTTTGGTGCCAACATATTACCAAGCGCCCTAGACCACTGAGTGCTTCTAACTAGTTCAGGTTACCTACTCATCCATCATGCATTTGATCAGCACTGGTCCAGATAACGCACATTACATAAGGGTCCTGAGATCTTCCGGAACATCTCCGATAACTGATACCCAACACTTGCTCTTCCTTCCTCTCCTCACAGGCTGATTTTCTTTCTTCAGGTCTCAGCCCCAGGGTCATTTCTACAGGAACCTCTCCTTCCTCCCACTCCAACCAGGAAAGGGGTAACCTACATGGTATTCCCTTCCTTGGACTTCAGCGCTGGTCATTCTCAGTTTGCACCTATCTCCCAGATTCATTCCTGGGAGGCTGAGTCCTCGATACTAGATCACCAGGACAGCCCATCCAGCCAGTTTCTCTTGGGTCCCACAGATGAGAGGCAATGGCAGAAACTTGGAGGCAGGGAGAAGACAGAAGCTGGACATGTCCTCCACACCCCCTTTTTGCTGGGGTCTCTGTTCTTAGGGGTGGCAGTTTCTCTGGAGGCCCAAACTGTTCCTGCCTGGCTTGGGTTCACTTGGTCTCCAGCAGTATCATTCCTGCCACCTTCTCTGTGCCTTTCACTGGTTCTGGTAACCCTGCCTCCATCTAAGATGCCTTTTCACTAAACTCTCTTCCTTTGAACTAGGTTAGTTGGTTTTCTGCTAAGACAGTGGTGATTTTATATTAATTGATAGGATAATTTTCTCAGCATCTGTCTTCTCCCAATAGGCTGTGAGCTTCATGACACTGGTACTTCAGAAGTGACTAACCAATGTTCTAAATGATATGATGAGTTAATAAAAGGATGCGTGAGCCCACATTAGAAATGGAATACTATGCATTATACAAGGATTTCTAAAATGTCCTTGCTTCATTTGATATGGCACCAATTTATCTGGGGAAACATTTTTCCTATGTTGGTTGAAAATAACCTTTATTGACAGGAATATTTTTACTGATTTCAATTATTTCAATTATTCTAGCAATAACTGTTAACAGGTATAATTTTTCAATTAAGAAGATAAGTTTATCTATCTGTAATAAGTCATCAATGATGAGAGTGGATTGAGTTAGTGGGAGTTAGTGGGAACACAATAAAAACGTTAACTGGAAAAAGATTTAGGGACTTTCCTGGTGGCCCAATGATTGGGACTTTGCCTTCCAATCCTTGATAGGGGAGCTAAGACCCCACAAGCCTTCAGGCCAAAACACCAAAACATAAAACAAAAACAATACTGCAACAAATCCAATAAAGACTTTTCAAATGGTCCACATCAAAAACAAACTCTTAAAGAAAAGGAAGGCTTTGCACCTTATTTTTTATAACCTATTGCAAATGACTCTAGAAAATAAATACTCAGTAGCTCACGGTGTGAGAAGGGTTATCTCCAGGCTGGAAATGTTAATACAATAAACTCTCTACTCTACATTGCTACTTTAGACTTAAAGGACAATCTGGGCTGATACCAATATTAAATATGCAAGTTTCATATTAATACATATATTAAACAACTTCTACAAAATGAACTGGAAAATTCTGATTCTAGGACACTAGTCAGAATTTCTGTAACACAATCTGGAGCTCTGCAGATTCCCTTCTTTTATGGCAGAAAAAGTGCAGAAAAATCAGATTACTTAGAGGTGATCTGATGCATTAGCAAGGTCTTTCAAACCAGTAGCTACGGTACAGTGTGACCCTTGAATTTCAATCTTGAGAAAACCAGTTCGTACAGCAGAATCATAAGTAAATACATACTATGTCAAGAATTATTAGTTTATAGCAAGGCATTTTGGAAAGCAACAATTTACAAGCTCCAAGTGGGGGAAGTATTCTAACTCCGAAGAGATCAAGGTTCATCTCTTTTCTGCAATCACTCTCCTGTTTTTTCTGCTAACTTTTTCATTGTAAAAAATATCCCTATTCTGTTCATTCTAACCAACAGAGAGGGCAGGGTCCCATTCCTCTAGTAGAGTATGAGTTCAAGATTATCTGTCATCTCCCGCCACCCAAGATAGTTAGTAAAGGAAGACCTTTCTGATGTCTTGGGATAGGGTGGTAGGGGTCTGGTTTTACAAACTGGAATGAGATGGCATGGTTTTAGTACTAGTCATAATATAAAATACCTCGTGAGGGGGTTTGGGGAAGTGATTGAGTTAAAACAGTTAAAATGCAGTTACATTTCTAATTACTTTATAACCAGATAACTTGCTTTGTTATGCCTAATTAGGTGCAACAACAATAACAATATTCCTTTTAACTCCCTTTTTCCTTTTCTCTTCAGTCATAACTAACATAGGAAATGACCACATCAGCTCTTTACTGATTGCTTCCCTGGAAACAAAAGAGCATTTTATACCTGATCCTGCCATTACCAGTAAAGAGAATGAAGCAAAAATTAACTGCCCTTCACCTCTCTTGCCCATACGGGAAGTACACAGCATTCAGTTCCTAAGCACTGATGCTCCCCTCACCCCAGACTCTCTCATCTCCATTCTCATCAACATCACCCACTGACCGGGCGCCCGGTACACGAAGGGCCCCGTCGCCCGACAGGGTTAGCAAAAAAAAAAGCACCTCATTCAATCTGAATATGACGACTCCTGATGTTTTCCACGCAGCAAAGCGGGGCGGGCGGCCCAGCCCCTAGGGACAGGGCGGCGTCTCGGGTGCCCGCAGCCCAGGACCGCGGGCGGCGCCGCAGCGCTCCGGGCCCCCCACCCGCAGGGACCGGCCGCAGGTCCTTACCCGCCAGTCCGCCGCCGCCGCCTCCATCGCCCGAGTGCCCCTTCCTCCGCTGCAGGATGAAGTAAGGGTTGGCTCTCTCGGTGATCCACAGCGCGTTGGCCAGCAGCACCTCTTCGGGGTTCACCCACATGTTCCCTGGCGCCGCGGGCTCCCTTACAATGGGGCGGCGGGTCGGGTCCGGCACGCACCGGCGCGCAGCCCCGGGCACACGCGCGCCCGCCCGCCTGCCCGCCAGCTAGGTGCGGCGGCGGAGAGCGACTTCACCAGGGGGCGGCCGGCGGGGCCCGGGCCACAGCGAAGCCCCCGCGGGCGGCCGGGGAGGACGGCGAGGACTCGGGCGCCGCGCGCAGCATCCTCTCCGCGGCGCCGCCGCCTCCCGCGAGCCCGCGGCCGCAGACTCCCGGGCCCCTTGGCTCCGCCGCCGGGTCGGGGCCCACGGCAGCGAGAGGAGCGAGAGGAGGGGGAAGGAGAGCGGGAGGAGGAGGAAGTGGTGTGGCTCAGCCGCGGGATCCGGCTCGGCAGCTGGCAGGGCTGCGGGCGACTCGCGCTGATCCTGCCCCGCGGGTCGGGCGGAGCTGGGCTGGGGCGCGGCTGCTCCCGCAGCGCCCACCCAGGGTCCCGGCCGCCTGCGTCTCCAGCCGCTCAGAGCCCGCCAGGGCACGGCGCGAGAACACTCCGCCCGGGGGCCGCTCGCACCCTCGGCGAAGCCCAGCTCCCGGCTGGAAGGACGCTCCGGACGCTGCGAATGAATGACGACAGCGCGGCTCGCTAGGAGCGAGCCCCGGCGACACCAGCTTCCGCGGACGCGAGTCCGCGGGCCCGGCGAGCCGAACCAGGCCGCTGCAGCTGGCTTCGGGCGAACCTTCTGGGGACCGGGTGGCGAGCACTCGGCCCCACGCCCATCCCAGCAGCGAGGACGCTGCCAGCCTCCGTGGGGCGTGTGTGCGCGCGCGCCGTGTGTGTGTGTGTTTATGGTTGACGATCTGTAAGCTGGCGCCACCCCTCTCCCCAAGAAATGTGTTTCAAGCTTCCAGACTTGGAGCTAGAGACAGAGGTCGGAAGTGGACGCAGCCAATGGTTGCTGGTGTTTTTGTTTCCTGCATCCCTAAGCAAGTCATGCGCCAAACTAGTCACCGCCTGTAGCTCCGCCCCCACTCCATTCCATTGTAATTAAAATGGCCCAGCTAAGTGCATTACATCACTTCTTTCCTTGACCTGTACGGCTTGAGCAAATAGCGAAGTTGGAAGCAGCCCCAAAGCTTAGAGCAACTGATTCACCCCACAGCTGTCCTTATATGAAGCGTTTGGCGCTTCGAGGACCGGATGTGGCAGGATTCAAGGATTTATCCACATTTACTGAATGGATTTAAATTTTTTAAAAGAATCATTGTAATTAGAGACACACAAACCAGGCCATCGTTATCTCCAGACAATTTTGCTTTCCCCGGGTATTTCAAGTCTCTTTGTAGTGATCATAGCCGATCCACCTATCTGATGACCTTTTTTTCACTTCTGTTTTACACCTAGAAAATCTGTAGATAGCTCAGCGAAGAGTCTCCTCTTGACGGGTGATGGGAATTCAGCAAGCTCTGTTTTGTTGTGGAAGTTAGACAGTACTAGGGATTTCTTTTCCCAATGAGCAAAGCATTCAAATGAGGCTATCTTGTGTGGACTTCACATTTTTTTACGCACGCAGCTCTCACTTGGACTGCTGAATTCCTGCAAATGGCCAAATGGCACATCCCAGACATTTTAATGAGACTGCCTCTGCACCTGTTAACTTCCTACTCAGTGGGCTCTCAAGAAGCAGAAGTCTCCCTTTAGGTTGTCACATTGACTGACCTTCTGCCTCTTTAGGAAGCATTTAGATTGCTAAACATTTGTGGGAATGTCACACTTTTAACACAGACTCAAAAATGTCATTTGGCACCTTTGGTCAAGGTATGGTGACTTCAGTCATAAAAGTTGATTCCAAATTTTTAAAAAACCAATCAGATTGCGAGTCATACATGTGTAAAATTGTATTAATCTGATGTTTATATAATATCAATATTTTGAAGTGCTTCCATAGATATTCTTTTGTTTAAAATTAGCGATTTTAAAACTCCACTAAGTGCTTTCATGGGCTTCCCTGGTGGCTCAGTGGTAAAGAATCCGCATGCCAATGCAGGACACACCAGTTTGAACCCTGGGTCAGGAAGATCCCTTGGAGTAGGAAATGGTAACCCACCCCAGTATTCGTGCCTAGAAAATCCCAGAGACGGGGAAGACTGGCAGGCTACAATCCATGGGGTCACAAAAGAGTCAGACAGGACTTAGCGACTAAAACACACCAACAAGTGCCTTCATTCTATTAGTTGTTTCATGCGGGATCTAGTTCAACAACCAGGGCTTGAACCCAGGCTTCCTGCATTGGGAGCATGGAATCTTAGCCACTGGCCCACCAGGGAAGTCCCAGTGCCTTCATACCATCTTTTAGAGTGTCCTTATCATACTGCTCAAAGTTGTAGCTTGACATCTCTACCCTAGACCTACAGTGTGATCTTAGCTTAGCACTTTTTACCTATTGGTACTAAAGTGTTATTTACTTATATAATTCTTGTGTTCATTCACTGATTCATTCAAAGTGTAATTATTGAGTGTCTTCTCAACTCTAGACACTAGGGATAACAAGTGAACAAAACATACCAAAATCTCTGTTATCACCAAGATTAAGAAGTAAAGTTAATAATTTTAAAAAAAATTTACAAAAATTTGCTTTGAGAACAAGATTGAACACCAAGAGGAAGGAAGAAAAATATTTAAGTCCTTAGCTATTTTCTGGCCTTTTTTCTTTTTCTTTCTTTTTTTTTTTTGAAGACTTAAGAGCACATTCTGTCCAGGAAATCAGGGCTTCCATTTCGCAGCTGGTTTGGTGGTAAAGAATCTGCCTGCCAATGCTGGAGACACGGGTTAGATTGGATCAGGAGGATCCCCTGGAGGAGGAAATGGCAACTCACTCCAGTATTCTTGCCTGGAAAATTCCGTGGACAGAAAAGACTAGGAGGCTACAGTCCATGGGGTTGCAAAGAGTCAGATACAACTGAGCATGCACACACATAGTAAAAGAACATTGCAAAGAACCAAAGAAATTACAGGAAGTTTATGGCAGCTTGCTGTTAACTGCTCACTTATTAAAATGTAGCTTGGGAAGTGGGAGGGGGGACCGGGATGGGGAATACATGTAAATCCATGGCTAATTCATTTCAATGTATGACAAAAACCACTGCAATGATGTAAAGTAATTAGCCTCCAACTAATAAAAATAAATGGAAAAAAAAATAAATAAAATGTATCTTGGTTTAAAAAAAAAAAATCAAATACACCTGAACTAGAAATGACAGATAGAGAACCTAATTAATCCAACCAGTTCCTCAGCAAAATCAGGGAGTATTTTTAGCTTTCAACTCATTTTCATTGGTTTTAAGACCAAGGATTGTCTCAAACCACTTAAAGAAGCATTCAACAGATACCTAGATAAGATAGGAGTAAATGACTTCACAGTCTTTGTATCAGCTGTCTCCTCCCTCCTCCTTCCCCATCCCCACGGAAAAATTCTACTCCAGTTGAGTTCTGATAGACCCCATTGGAGCAATCTACTTAGTGGACAGATCTGATTGAAGCAAAACTGTGAGGATGGTAAATTTGTCTGACATCTCTCATCCTGATTCCAACATGTTTCCATCTTTCCTGCTTTTTCACATCCACAGTGGTGTATTTGCCTCCCTATCCTCACGCTTTGCCCAATAAATCCTCTACTTTGTCTACTAGGACTTGCCTACCATTGAAAATACCATGGAGTCTTAAGAACTTTATTTCTGCCCTTCCCCACCTCTCAACTATAGTGCCCATGCCTTCATAGCCCAGTTCTCTGGGAAGTAAGGTGGTGAAAGCTGCAAAACGCTAGTCTTACTAACTATTCCATCACCCAGTAGCCCCAGGGATGGTCCAGTCAGTAGACAATTCAGTTCTAATTTCAGCAAAGAGAATTCACCCAAGAGATTAATAAAATGCTAAGGAAACCAACTCCTTCTCTTGTCTTCCAGCTAAAGGTAAACTGTCAACAAGGATTTTTTTTTTTTTCACTGCCCAGATCTACTTGGTCCAACTTGGAAGGGCCGTAGTTCTAGGAGAGTATTTGTAATTTCTAGTATCCAGTGAGGTAGAAGGAGAATGGTGACCAGTTGGGATGGGGAAGAGTAATATTGTTTCAAAGATCCAAGCCTCTGCGGTAGCTTTAATATCTGATAGAGACCTTCACAGTCGATCTGAGTTGCTCATCCAACTGGAAAAACTAGACCAGACAGTCACCACAACAGTCTCCTCTGCAAGTAATGAAGCTAATTGATGATACCAAAGCCGCAGTTTGGTCCTGTCAGCTGTAAGTGGCTGAACAGATCTGCAGCCAGGACCATCCTTATGTATAGTGGGATTTGCGGGGAAAGAGTCTTCGAACTACCTTTGATATCTAATAGTCCTAACTTGCCTCCATTCCGCGAGTCACTCTGCCTTTTGAGTTCTGAGATGCTCTGGAAATCAAAACTGACTGAAATATCATATCTCTTCATGTCAGAGAAACTATGGCCAGATAACCTGTCACATGCATCTGTGTTCCTGGGGTGAAAGAAGGGAAGAAGAGAACAACCTCTCCAGGGGAGAAAAATGAAAAAAGGTATTAGCGGAGAACTGGTTAACTGTCATTTAAGAGGGCACATGTTAATGGCTGGGGAAGAATGACGAGGTAAAGAGCTTAGACCACATGGAAAAGTGAATACATACTCACCCTATCTCACACTCATCCGCTGCAAGTTCCTTGAGGCCAAGACTGTGGTGAGATCATTCCTGTATCCCCGGGTTTAACACTGGAATCCCTGTAATGTCCAGCTGGAAAACACTTGTAAGACTTCTGAATTTCTAAACTTCAGAAAAGTCCAGTGATTTAGAAAGGAAAGGACCTTTAAGAGACCCTGAGTGCAGTTGTGTTGACCTCATTTTATATATAAGAAAACTGAAGTTCAGAAAAGGGAAAGGACTTGACTTAAAAACTGGTCTTATTATTTAGGAGACTATTATGACCCCCAAACTTAACAGCAATTTTC